CTTCAATCGCTTCGTTGAAATTGCGCTTCGTCCATAAAGCTTCCGCATTGCTTGCTTTAATTTCTTGTTTGCTCTGCATCTTCCGTGTCGCGTCGCCTTCGTCATGCGCTCCTTCGCTCTTACCGCCAGTCTGGCCGCGCTCTGCAGCGCAGCACCATATGGGCAGCAGACGCCACTTAAGAACATACTCGAGAACACAGACAAGAGCGACAAGTACACATACCCAACGGACTTCACGAGGGAGATTATACCCAAGCCGTTCCACAGCCATAACGATTACTGGCGCGATGTGCCGTTCTATTCGGGTCTGAGCCAGGGTGCTATATCGACGGAAGCTGATGTGTGGCTTCTGAATGGCACGCTCTACGTAAGTTACACGTCGCGAATTCATACAATTCCGCTAATAAACGATAGGTCGGTCATGAGCCTGCTGCGCTGACCGACAAGCGCACTCTTCAGTCTCTCTATCTGGAGCCAATCCTCGACACTCTGCATCGCCTGAACCCGACGACTCGATTCGTGCAGCCGGGTGAGCAGAATGGTGTGTTCGACACCTCTAGCGGACAGACTCTTTACTTCTTCATCGACTTGAAGACTGCCGCCGACGAGACCTGGCCCGCTGTTCTTGAAGCCTTGGAACCTCTACGAAGCGGTGACTGGTTGACAACTTACGACGGAACCAATCTGCGCAAGAATCCCGTTACCGTCATTGGAACTGGAAACACCCAGCTTTCAGACGTTCTTGCGTCGTCTCCACGTGACGTGTTCTTTGACGCGCCACTTGCTGATCTCAATGACTCCAAATATGCGGACCTCACAGCAAATGAGTCACCAATTGCGTCCACAAACTTTGCGTCGACCTTTGGCGAAGTGCGCAAGCGGGAGTTTAACGATACGCAGCTGGAGACGCTGAGGAGCCAGCTTGACATGGCACATGAGAAGGGCATCATGGCCAGGTATTGGAACCAGCCGGCGTACCCGATCGGTACGAGAAACGCGGTTTGGCGTATTCTCTGGGACGAGGGCGTCGATCTGCTCAACGTTGATGATCTTGCGGCGGCGGCTGCCTTCTGGGAGGGCACTGGTTAATGAACGAGTTGTATCTGGGCTACACAAAGCTATATGCACATCAAAGTACATAGCTATATAAGTAATGATCAAGGCCATCCAATGATGAATTCATGAAAATAAGCAATTGCTCGCAATGGTTCGTCGCGTGAGGCACACGTTCGCAGCTCGCTTAGTGCGGCTCTTTCTGGTTCCTGCAGAGGCTCATCCCTGTAACCCCGGATTACGTACTCGCCCGAGATTTTCCACATGCCAGTCATCTCAGCAATTGCGTTCTAGATCCCATCTCATATTCTTTGTCCTCATCAGAGACTACCCGGCAGACATCCTCACCACCGTCTTTCCACATATATCCGTCACCTACGTACGCGGCTGTGCCGGGACTCGCTTGCATAGCTATAGCCGGCCGCTCTTTGTTCAGAGAAACGTTCACGTCGCGTTTCATCGCTAGGGAAGGGACCTGCAAGCTTGCGAGCATCTGTCATCAATAGTAAAGTCGCAAGGACTTTGGGCCAGCTCCTCCGACTTTTGAGAGCTGCTCCAAAATTGTGCGACTGAGAAAGAGCTAGGAATTCGGCGGTTACGTCATAGCGAAGATGTTTCCTCCATCGCAAGGCTTGCGATTGGACATTGATGCCATCAGTCAGATATTTGGTTCAATAAGCATCGCATGCTGGATAGGTACGTGGGATACAGCTTCTCGTACTGCTACGTGCTGTGCAACGCGCTTGCCTTGTGTTGCTTTTGCATGGCTGTTACCTCGGCACGCCGGAGCTAACGTGTGCGACAGTTGTTTTCTCACCTCAAATTATCGAGAATTGGAAGAGAGGCTCAGCGGAGGGCCTTTCAGTAGTCTTCATCGTAGTATGGCTACTCGGCGACTTCTTCAATATCATAGGCGCGGTGCTGCAAGGTGTCCTGCCAACGATGACCATATTGGCCGTGTATTACACTCTAGCCGACATCGTGCTGCTGCTACAGTGCTTCTACTACAAGGGCTTTACGTTGCGCGATGAGTATAAGAAACCCGCCGATGAATCCGACACGGATAGCGAAGTTAGTGAGCAGTCACCGCTTCTACCTCATCGCAGACCCCAGTCGAGCGGCTCACCCTATACAAACGGCAACGGCCATGGAATCGAAGTCCAGAGACCGCGCATTTCGGATATCGATCGCCGTGGCTCAGGCCATTCCCAAGGGTCATTCCGTGAGCGCTATCTCTCCATTGACGGCACGCATCTCTCGCCTGTCACACCGCTCCACGATGACTCAACTGCTGCACATCAAAATGGCGCAGTTACAGCCAGGTCTCAGCCGACCCAGTCCAGTCTGCAAACGATCCTCTTCAATCTTGGAACCATAGTTCTTGTATGCGCGGCCGGTGTTTTCGGTTGGTATCTTAGCGCACGAAACTCCACCGCTCCCAGCCAGCCCGACGGCGAGGACTCATCACCCGAATCAACCCTGCACTTCAACCTTTGGGGCCAGGTCTCAGGTTACGTTTGTGCCGCGCTTTATCTTGGGTCCCGCGTCCCACAGCTCCTGCTCAACTACCGCCGCAAGTCGACCGAGGGCATCAGCATGTTGTTCTTTCTGTTTGCTTGCCTGGGTAACCTGACGTATGTTCTGAGTATCCTAGTATACAAGCCCAAGTGTGGGGGCCACGTTTGTCAAGATGGGGAGGGACGCGCTGAGTACGGCAAATACATTGCGGTCAATATGAGCTGGCTGTTGGGCAGCTTTGGCACATTGTTGTTGGATGCCGGCGTGTTTGTGCAGTACTTCTTGTATAGGGTGGACGATGATGAGAGTGATGAGGAAGAGTAGACAGGTTCTACGTCAGGTGTCAAAAGTGTATTGAAATGAGCGTTTTGGTACATGCATGACGATTGATCATGCGGGCAGTGCGTGCACAGCCACGAGATTGTATATTATACATAGCGGCGTCTGTTGGGACAGCTGATTCCTTCTTTAGGAGTCTAATCGGTGCCTGGAGTTGCTAAATGCTGAGTAGTCTCGACTTCCGACATCAAGATACGGGATTCGCCCGGGTTCGTTTGCGGCCGACTGGCTACGTGCCACGCGCATTCGACGCCTTGGGCTGGAATACGTGCGTTTGCTAGAACGCCAGAGTAAATTCAATCAGAATTCAACAGAATTTAAGCATCTCATCACATTCCACTCCTCTTCATCAGTATCTCGAAACAACATTATCTTGCTCTCTATCTGCGACGTGACAGGCAACCACCGGAATTGGTCAACACAACCATCATGCCCACTAACAAGCACTTGAAAAGTTCGACGAGCTCTTTCCTAGTACTCAAGGCTCTCCACTAACATCTGCAGGCATTGTCTTCTGCGCCGCCGCGAAAGTAGAAGCAGACATACACACCTACCCCACACGCTTCCACGACATCGAAGAAGTCAAAGAGTACATCAACACTACCTGCAAGCAGTCTGGGAACCAGTACATCACCACCAAGCAGTTCTTGACGAAGCAGGAGCTGGCATATATCAAGGACAAGGTATGCTTCGTAGTAGCTTGCAAGGCTTTCAAGCAGGGAGAGTTCTATCTGGAGGTCGGGTTGGTGGACCGGCCGGCTCTGAGAGGTATTTTTGTTCAGTTTCCATTATTTGGTCTTCCCAAGCTCACATGTAACGTGCTTTAGCGGCCGTCGAAGCAGACATTCGACGCCTCCTTCCCCTTGTACCTTACTGGCCGTCCTACTTCCCTGGTGTTGAGGATGCTCTTGTACATGTTGACGGCGTTGCACGTTGGAAGGACTTCACCTACACAAGATTTGAAGGGGTTGAGCAGGAGAGGTTTCGGCGTTACGTCAAGTTCAACACTGTGAGGCATGCTTATGAAGACGGTCACTTTGATATGCAAGTTCCCGGGGAGGATTGGCGGTGCCGAAAGTCCAAATCTCGTGAACAAGAGAAGAAGCCTGTCAGTGGGCCAAAGGCGCGTGGGAGCAAGTTGACTACGATGAACGGTATGTCATCTCCCTTCCCAGCGCCCTGCACTAGACTGACTGACTCACTAATTACAGGCGCAATCGAAAGCGACATTCAAGAGCTCTTCACCCGCATTCCCACATGGCTACCAACATTCTCTTCCCTCAACGCGGCTCGGAACTACGTTGCTGACTTCTCGCGCTACATTCGTTTCTCATACACATACTGGGCTGACGTCGAACCAAATCGCTTCCGACTTATCGTCAACTTCAACACGGCAAAGCTGGCGTTTCGACGGGGAAAGTTTAAGATCTGGGAAGGGTACGAGGAAGAAGACTCTGTTGACACAGATGAGACTGCCGTTGAGATCACTGAGGTCAAGGAGACGGAGAGGGAGGTTTCTTCACTGGCGTATCGGATCCGTTCCAGCGGGTCTACTGTGACCCCGCCTGTCGAGACACCCGTCTTTTCTACTGCCACCGCCTTCGGAGACGCTATCGACTCCATCAACACGGCGATTGCGGATACTACTGTTGACGATGTGCCAGACTTGCTACTAGAGGAGCTTCCTGAGTCCATCAGCATTGTAGGAGAGGAAATTCAGGAGCCTATCATGTCACCCCAGGAGACTATTACGCCCTTTCTGGTTGAGATTGACGAGGATCCGTTCAAAGTGAGTGTCTCTTGGTGTCATTCTGGACCTTTGCTAACTATCTTCACTACAGGACCTCATCGCTGTCTTGAAGCGTGAGAGCATCCTCAAAGCAGCTTTCGAGTGACGCAAGCTGGAATTACAGGATACTAAATTGTGTTGCGTGCTATGGATGATTGGATCAAAAAGTTGTGTCCTAATTTTGTACAGTACAGTATCTGTAACTGGTCGATGCTGGTAGCGATGGTGACGGTTGGAACATGTCGTATTCGGGCTGCCATAGCATTACTCAGATATCTCTGAAAGCAAGTCCACCACACCCTTAAGTTTCATCACTGCTCTCCTTCTCGTTGTCCACAATATCAATCACATCATCCATCACAGTCTCCTTGCCCTTACCCTTCCCAGCTTTCTTCGCCTTCATCTTGGCAATTTCGACCTCAATACCCATGTCGACTTCCCTCCTCAGGTTCTTGTAGAGCCCCATCTTGAACAAGATCTCGTACCACACGAACAGCGGTGCCAGAAACAGGGCTTGGACCAAATTGTCCAGCAAAGCCGGTTTCCTTCCCTCAAATTTTCCGTGTCCTACGAATTGTAGTATCCAGCTCACGACATGAATGGCGCCGGCAATACTGTTGACTTTGGTCTTGTTGTAGCGCTGCGTGAGGCGGTTGGAGAGGGACGCGAAGGCGAGGATTATGGGGGTGACGGTGACGCCGGCGAGGTTGGGCGAGAGCATGAGGTATAGCGTCGAGTACGTGGCCGCGGCGATGGTGCCTAGGTTTAACGGGAGGTTGAGACGCGTCAGGAGCGGGTGCTGGCGGATGGGCAGGGTGGGTGTGTTGGTGCCCTAGATGGTCGGGTCAGTCAGCGATTGATACTGTGAGGATGGAACGAGCGGGAAGATTGGGCTGCGCACAAACAGAATGCCTGTTGCGAGCAGGACGGGCACACATGCTATGTGGATGGCGACATTGGTTGGATCGCGGTGGTATGCGCCATACTGCTCTTCGCATTAGCCAGCGAGCGCGCTCTGGGGCTGTACGGGCGCCATTACGAAGACGAGGTTCTTCTTCAGGTCAAAGACTGGCATCTTGGGTATTCGTCAAGCAGACGTGATGCTTTGCGACAAGGCTGGTGAGGTGCCCGCGAGGCGGCGGCGCAGGCGTTGTATAAGAGCGTGCGGAAACGGCGGGAGATGCGGGGAAATGGCTGCGAGAAGCGGATCCGACGTCCAAGTCAGGGGAACAGCGTATGGGGGTAAGTCAACTTAAGTCGGAAGACAGGAAAGGAAGAGGATATGCTCCGGGATCGTCGGGTTCCTGGAGTTCTGGGGTTGCTGACGATCAGCCCACCCTCGCGGCGGCCGTGATAGCTGCGCTGGGGTGCATTGGCTGGTGGTTAGCTTCATGCCGAGGCTGACTGCCGAGGCACCTCCTGTCAGAGCCCTTCGGGGTTTGGCCCAGCATCCGAATAGCCGTTACGATGCTTCCTGGTGCATGTGAAAGTGGTTGATGGTGGTTTCCGCTAGCATCCAGACGCGCGCTGCGCTTGAGAAGCGCGTTTTTGTGGGGCCGCATGACGATAGGCGTCGTCTTGAGTAGTGGGGATTCTGACGGCGATCCGTCTCCACGACGAACCACTTCACATCGCCATCTACCTTTGTCACGTCTTGTTTGATGTCATCTCGCTATTCTACCGTTGTGGACCTCATGATTTATCGAATGACGGGGGGAAGGAGCAATGCGGAACAAGCGATGGGTGCGATGGGTGCGACGGAAACCACAACCCAGGCACCCTGCGGTATTCATCGTGATTAGTGACAGACTACAATGCCCAGTCGAGCGAGTTTGAGGGTATAAACAAAAAAATCGATGAGACCGCATGCCGCCACAACCACCCATACGCCCGGCTAGGCCACCGATCGATGCATCCCATGAGCTCCGACATGCTGCGAACTACGTACCCAACATCACCACCTCTTCTCGCCTCGCGCTATACTCTATTCCAAAGTTGACTAGACCTGCTTCTCGCCTCGAGGCGCCGGTCGAACATAGGCATCCGGCTTAGCCAGCCCTTTCTTGCGAAGAATATACGTGTTCCAAGCGTAGCTCATCTGCGCTGTTACACTCACAGGTGGACGCTGGTCGCCAAACTTGTAAAGCTGAGGCTTGGAAAGACCCTTGCGACGGAGTATGTACGTCTTGAACCACCAAGGTAGGTTTTTACCAGCCTGGTATTTCATGTGGGTGCGCGTAGGGACTCCGAAAATATAGTCGAGCTCTTCAAGTGTCCGCTGCTTGGTCTCGGGTAGCCAAAGGAAGCTGGAGATATATTAGCTCTCTGAATGTTGCAGCGGATTGAGAGTGGCTTACATCATAACTAGGGCGACGACATTGAGACCAGCGTAGAAGCCGAATACTCCTTGAGGTCTCATGACCTTGAGCATGCGCGGGAGTGTGAGCGACAGCACTGCCTAATAATTGGCGCATCGAGTCAGTATATGCCACACCACAGAGTCCATCAGTTCGACTTGACTTACCGCCCAGAAGTTGTTCGTGGCTACAGCCCATGACATACCCACTTCTCTGTGCGAAAGCGGGAATACCTCAGCCGAGTACGTGAATGGCACCGGTCCCATTCCAGGAGAGTAGAAGGCGCCAAATAGATATACGAAGAAGGCGATCAAGCCCAGATGTGCATCGCTATCCTTGGGAATGTAGTAGCACATGCCAGCTACAAGGAGCGTCCAGAACATATTGGGAAACGTGGAAAGAAGCAGACCGCGGCGACCGAACGTATCGATTGTCCAGACGGCTGGCCATGCGAATGTAAAATTCACAAGACCGAACCCAAAGGATGCAATGAGAGCTTCCTTGTTTGTGGCCCCTCCCTCTGCGAAGATCGTCGAGCTGTAAAAGGCAATAATGTTGATGCCGCACATCTATTCTCGTCAGCCTCATTCATCCCAAGCGGATTCCTGCTATCTTACCTGCTGACCGATCATCACGATACCAGAAGCTTGCGTCGCGCGGCGGACCCGTGGAATCGTGAAAAGCTCGATGAAGCGCGTAAAGAAGTTGGACTTGGGGTTGATTCCAGCTTCGCGAATCAGAACCTCTTCCTGCTCGAGGAGGCAATGGGTGTAGTAGAGGTCGCGCGCAGCTTGAAGAGGGGTATTGCGTAGACGAAGAAAGGATCGGTAGGCTTTGGCGTACTTGCGCTTCTTCATGAGCCATCTTGGACTTTCAGGAACGAACCAGATGCCAATGACGAGGGGAACGGCAGGAATGAACGCGGATCCGAATTGAAGACGCCAGGAAATCGACCCAGTGTTCTATCCGTTGTCAGTAGTTGCAAACTACGAGCACGTTGATGGGCTTACCATGACAGCCAGGTTAGCGACAGTTCCAAGGAAGATGCCAAATGCCGTCCTTACTAGGTCAGGTTTTGTTTCGCATACATCTCGTACAGCAATAACTCACCAGATTTGCCAGGACATGACGAGCCCGCCACGCACACTAGCCGGAACATTCTCCGCTGAGAAGACGGGCACTGTAACTTCCTTGAGTCCCATACCAACACCCAGAAGCACACGGCAAACGGCAAGCTGGCCCCATGTCTGGCTCAGTCCCATGCCAAAGGGCGCAAAGAGTGAGAAGACGGCAGCGATAAAGATAGTACCACGACGACCGCAGAGTTCATTCACGGGGTCTAGAGCCATTAGCAAGAGAGGATAAGAGATGATGAGAACTTCAAAGGCTGCTCACCAGAGATCCAAGCACAGAACACTGTAAAAGTTAGCGAACTTCTCACGCGACGCCCCTTGATCACAAACTCACCAGCAATAGCAATATAAGGACAAGCATTGATGAACCCAATAATCCACCCATTCTTCTCACATGTCCCTGCTGCCTCACACACAGGCCCAGAGTCTGGAATACCAAGCGCCTGACCGAAAGTCAAATTAGCGCCATTGGAGCCCGTTTGGTCCCAGCCCTGGATAGCTGCGGCGACGGAGTTGAGGATGATGGTGAAGTAGAGTGTACGAGGTAGTTTGAAGCGATGAGTGATTTCTTCGCGGACGGCGGTGCGGTCATCTTCATCCAGCTCTTCGAGGTCTTCGAAGAGTGCGGGTGACTGTGCGAGGAGGGCGCCTTTGACGAGGAGAGGCTCGACGTCGGTTAGTTGGTGCTCTGTGGCGAAGTCGTGGACGTTGGCTAGGAGCTGCTCTCGTGGAATGTCGACGAGCGGGTTGCGGATTCTGGACTTATTAGTATGAGCGCGTCCAGAGCATAGCATTTGAGAAGTTTTGGAAGCGAGATTGCTTGTATCTGGAGGCTTAATCAGGTAAGGAATTACTTACTCGCCCTCGAGATTGGCTGTTAGGCGCGCGACACTCTCTTTGCGCTTCGCTTCACCATCGAAGATGGACGCCTTGCGCTCGTGGTGTTCATCCACTACCACTGGACTGGAAGACACACGGTCAGTACAGTTTGAGCCTCACATCATGACCATCTTCAGCTTGCGACAAGTAGCTTACTCAATCTTAGTCTCCTTTTCAGGTTCCGCCATGGCCAAACTAGAGTCGGACGTGCGCACTAGAGCTTGAGTATGTTTGGCGTCAACGCCCAGTTAAATAGCTTGTTAAGGTTCAGGAAAGCTCCCAGCAAGACGCGAAACCAGGAGGAAAAGGCACAAAAGACCTTATAATACGCGACGGAGTGAGCAGGCATGCTTATATGTCGGTGTCAACAAGGCTTACTGCTTCATTGCCAAATGCTGCAGTTTCCCTGTCTTGGGGCAATGCCAATACCGATCCTCACACATGCAACCATTCCCAGTCACATCTTGGACATTGGTTAACCATTCCCATCCATCAACAAAACGCTCAAACACGATCACGCGGTGCCATCTCACCAGCCAATAGCGTCATGAAACGATGGGCCAGGGTAAGTAATCACCGCATAACAGCTGGGAGTTGGCCAACGTTGGTGGCTGCAAAACGGTAAGGCGGAGCACTTGGTCGTTCTTGGGTAGTGGGCTTGGCCGGGCTTTGACGATTGTTCTCACGCCTTGGACTTTCTTGATGTGACAAGCAAGGGCCAGGAGGGGTCAACGCTGATGCCGATGTTAGAAGCCGCGAGGCCATCCGGATAATATAAACCCATGGCTCTAGATACGCGGCTTCGGCGCTTCTTCGATACCAAGGAGTATCGTGCGCTCACAACCGATACAGTAAAGGCGGAAGCAAAAGAACAGACACAACTATTGTGTCCCATCCACAGACTATCCAGGCAGCCATATACACTACACGCGCCTTGGCATTTCCCAGTCATTCCATCTTGGTATCCCAAGGCCAAGCCACATACCACACCCACGTCTCAGCTGGAGCGAACGAGCATCTCACATGACGGCATAGTGCAATGTAACACAAGACTCATCGCCATATCTGCATGCACATATAAATGCACAAAGATGCATTGTAAGTCCAGGGAAATCCCGAGGGTTTGGAATTAATATATCAGCCCACCCAGCAAATGCTTTGACCGGTGCTGCGGCCACTTGCATCGCAAGTACCGTACTCTGGGATTACAACGAGTACTTCACTTGCTATGATGCAAATTAGCAAGATATCAGCGCTTCAAGGTTCTTCCTTGCTGTTTTCAATCAAGAAAGGCGAAGCCGTCGTGCCCCGTTTTTCAACCCAAGACTTTGCGTGATCAAGATCAGACAAAGGCGAAGGATGTTTTCCCCGCATTCTCGCTTGGCCTTGCTTGTGCACCAACCGTTTTCTCTTGGATGTGCTTTCTTGTGGTTTCTTGGATCTGCAGCATGGGTGCTAGCAAGGTAGCGCAGATCGAGACCTGCGCGATGCACGTCTGTGGTGAGATTGAGTCTTGGTGGGGGCGCTGATGGATGCCTGAGTCTCTTCGCTTGGGCACCTGCACGAGGCGCATCTGGCTCGCTCTCTGTGTAGGTTTGCATGCGGCGTTTTCTCAACGCGATCACGATAGTCGGGTGTTGTCGCATGGGATCCGCGGATATCGGTCAACGTGGAATTCTTGATTATTGCCGCACGCAGTATGTCGA